CTGGAGTGATGTGGCCACCAGCCAAGGGCCACCCGGAGCCACCAGGAGAACGAGGCAGGCTCCTCCCCGAGAGCCTCAGGATGGAAGGCGGTCCAGCCAACACCTTGGTTTCAGGCTTCCGGCCTCCAGAGCTGTGAGAGAATGTATTTCTGTTGCTTTATTTTTTTTAATGTTTATTTACTTTTGAGAGAGAGACAGAGACAGAGCACGAGCAGGGGAGGGGCAGAGGGAGAGGAGGGAGGATGTGCCGGTCCCTGGGGACACGAACATTGTTTTTCAGGAAGCAACTACTGACCCGAGTCAGCAAGGACCCGCGGCAGCGAGGACCCACCGTCGGCCCTGGGAGTGGCGGCTTGCACGTCGTGCCTTCGTTTTGAGGCTGTGCCGGTGTTTTGTACGCTTTCGCTTCGTTTTTAATCGTCCCCTTCTTTTTAAATTCGCTTCTTTCTCTATCTTCTTTCCGATGCCAGCAGGGGCTTTCTGGGCAAGCGTGGGCCCTGCAGGGCACGGCCAGTCCAGCTGTCGCGAGGAACATGACCGTCGGGGGCCACGCGAGCTGACAAAATCACCCCCACCGCACGGGTGGAAAGTGGCTTTCAGGGGAACATCGAGTTCCCAGAGAACCCGAGACCCAGGGGCCGCCTGTGAACCGGGCATCTGCAGGTCTGGGGCATCGGGCACACCCACACTGCGGTGGGGTAAATAAATGGTGTTCCCCCCGCCCCCCGCATTCACGTCCGGTCGGAACCTCAGAACGTGACCTTCTTTGGAAATAGCGTCTTTGCAGGTGGAATCAAGTTGAGGGTCTGGAGATGAGGTCGTCCTGGATTGGGGGGGCCCTAAATCCAATGACAGGTGCCCTTGAAAGAAGAGGAAAGGACACAGAGACACGGAGGGGACGGCCGCGTGGGAACAAAGGCGCTAGAAAATAAATACACCCATACACAGGTGCACAGCATTATCAGCAGGCAAGGAACGCCCAAGCTGGTTTGGGGAGGTGGGGGGGGGGGGGATGGGGGGGTAAGGGGGGGGGGTCACCCACATTCTCTCCCTGTCCTGGATACACGCCGACCTCGCGCTCAGAGCTCCCACCGGAGAAGAACCTCACGTTCTCTGCCACTCCAGGGTTAGCTGCCCTTAGTCATCAGGGGCCCGAGACTTTTTTGTGGTTGTTGATTTATTTTGACAGGAACAGAGAGAGCGCAAGCAGGGGAGGGGCAGAGAGAGAGGGAGAATCACCAGCAGGCTCCTCGCTGTCAGCGCAGAGCCCAACGCGGGGCTCGAACTCACGAAAACGCGAGGTCACGACCCGAGCCGAAACCCAGGGTCAGGCGCTTAACCCGGCGAGCCACCCGGGCGCCCCCAGGGGCCCCAGACTTCTGATTAAACCGAGCCCGAGCCCCAGTTTGCTGCGTGTCCCCCCTCCCCAACAGGCCCCTCAAGCTCTGAGCCTCGGACTCTGCACGCCCACTGATGCACAAAAGCAAGGCAAGTCAACCTTGCAAGTCACAGATGCGAATCAAAACAGCAGCCGTTGTGGGGCGCCTGGGTGGCGCAGTCGGTTAAGCGTCCGACTTCAGCCAGGTCACGATCTCGCGGTCCGTGAGTTCGAGCCCCGCGTCAGGCTCTGGGCTGATGGCTCGGAGCCTGGAGCCTGTTTCTGATTCTGTGTCTCTCTCTCTCTCTGCCCCTCCCCCCGTTCATGCTCTGTCTCTCTCTGTCCCAAAAATAAATAAACGTTGAAAAAAAAAAATTAAAAAAACAAACAAACAAACAAAAAAAAAAAACAGCAGCCGTTGCAACCACAGCCACCGGAGAAGGCCTGAAGGGATGGGGCGCTGGCGTGGCCGTGAGAGGGACCGCGAAGCACAGCTAAGGAAGCTGGCTCCCGTCGCCCCACGACCCCGCACGTCCCGGCAGAGGCCCCGAGAACCGGGGACAGAGCCAGGATTTGAACCCGCACCTCCTGCCTGGCTCCTGACCCCTGCCGTGCGTGCGGACGCCCAGCGCCACGCGTGACTATGTACGAGTGCACACGCTCTCCCGCGGATGCACGGTCACGCGCACATCCCCACACAGGCACGTGGGCAAGTCCGTGGACACAGAAAGCGGACTGGTGGCTCCAGGGGCTGGGGGGAGAGAACAGGGAGTGACGGCCCAGGGGGAGCAGGCTTCCCTTTGGAGGGACGGAAAGGTTCTAGAAGCCGACAGAGGTCACGGCCGCACAACTCCATGAAGGTACTAAATGCACCGAACGGATCACTTTAAAGCGACTAATCAGGGGCGTCTGGGTGGCTCAGTCGCTTGAACGTCCGACTCTTGATTGCTGCGCACGATCCCGGGGTCATGGGATCCCAGGGTCATGATCCCAGGGTCGTGGGATTCGGCCCCGTGTCCGGCCCTGCACCAAGCACGTAGCCTGCTTGGAAGGCTCTCTCTCTCCCTCTGCACCTCTCTTCCTGTGCACGTGCTCGCTCTCTCGCTCTCTCTCTCAAATTAAAAAAAAATTTTTTAATAAATGAAGCGACTAATTATACGTTATGTGAATTTCGCCTCCATAAATTATTAAGTAAAAAATTAACGAGGGCGTGAGAGCTGGTGCAATCGCTCCGGAAATAAACGCGGCACATCCGGGCAAAACTGAGGCTGCACACACCTGGACCCTCAGCGACCTCGGTGCGTACACCCTGGGGGCGGGGGCCGCGAGCGTGCACGACCCAGCACCGCAGGGACTCACGGCCGCCATGAGCAGACCGACACCCCAGGATGGCCTCGTGGAATATTACACGGCCGCGAAAAAGGGAGTGTGGCTTCTTGCAACCACAAGGGCATATCCCGGGGCGCCCGGGGGGCTCAGCCCGTTGAGCGTCCGACTTGGGCCCAGGTCACGCTCTCACGGCTCGTGAGTTCGAGCCCCGCGTCGGGCTCTGTGCTGACAGCTCGGAGCCTGGAGCCTGCTTCGGACTCTGTGTCTCCCTCTCTCTCACTGCTCCTCCCCCGCTCATGCTCTGTCTCTCTGTCTCGAGAATAAATAAAAAATTTTTTAAAAAAAAAGAAAAAAAAAGGCCAGATCTCACAAACATAATGAGAAGAAAAACCGACCAAAAAAAAAACAAAAAACAAAAAACCTATGTGTGTCTCGGTCCGCCTGGGCGAGGCTGCTGTCACAAAACGCCACAGCCAGGGTGGCTTCTAAACAACAGACACTCGCTTCTCAGAGTGGGGAGCCTGGAAGTCTGAGGGCGTCACTGTGGTCGGGGAAGAGCCCCCCTCTGAAGCGGCAGGGAACTCCCTGGGGTCTCTTTTTTTTTTTTTTTTTTTTTTTAATGTTTATTTATTTTTGGGACAGAGAGAGACAGAGCATGAACGGGGGAGGGGCAGAGAGAGAGGGAGACACAGAATCGGAAGCAGGCTCCAGGCTCCGAGCCATCAGCCCAGAGCCCGACGCGGGGCTCGAACTCCCGGACCGCGAGATCGTGACCTGAGCTGAAGTCGGACGCTTAACCGACTGAGCCACCCAGGCGCCCCTGGGGTCTCTTTTTTAAAGGCACCAATCCCATCCGTGGCACCTCATGGCTCTGCCCTCGTGATCAAATCACCTCCAGCACCATCACCCTGGGCATCAGGTTTTCGATGTACGAATTTGGCGGGGGATGGGGGGGGGGCGACGAACATGCCGACCACAGCATTGCGACCCTGGCCCCCCAAATCTACACCCTTCTCACGTGGCATCCACCCACCAGTCTGAGCCCAAAGCCCCATCTAAGTATCTAAACCAGGGGGGCGCCTGGGTGGTTCGGTCGGTTGAGCGTCCGACTCTTGATTTCGACCCAGGTCACGATCTCACGGTTGTGGGATGGAGCCCCACGTCCGGCTCTGTGCTGAGTTGGAGCCTGCTTGGGGTTGTCTCTCTCCCTCTCTCTCTCAAAAAAATAATTAAAAATTTAAAAACAATTACATATCGAAATCAGGCATGAGTGAGACTCCAGCTGTGCGCCTGTGAAATCACAACCGTCAAGGGCTTGTGACATCCCACCTGACGCTCCCGGTCCGAAAGGGGGAAAAGGGGGAACAGGTCGAAGGGGAACCCAAAACCCAACGCGGCAAAGAACCCTGGGCCCCGAGCCTCAAGAAGAGGCCCCCTCGGCCGCCGTCCTGCCTCCCCGACCCACCGTGGCTGGGGTCGGGGTCCCCCCACGCTCGCTGGGCACGGCCCACTCGGCGCTTCTCCCGGGTCGAGACGCGCGCCCCTGGCTCCACCCGCCTGGGGTCCGGGGCTGCCCCGTCCCCACGGCTCTGCCGGGCGTCACCCCAACAGGGCGTGCCCGGGGTGCGCGCCCACAGCTCCTGGGGCAGAAGCCAGCCGGGCCTGCTGAAACCCAGGTGGCGCCCCGCCCCGAGGACGGAGCCCTGAGGAATCTCCGGTCCTTCCTGGGGTCCTTCCCTTGTCCGAAGGATCGACGCGCGTGCCCCTGCAGGGCCCTAAAACCTAAGGGTGCCCCGACCTTCCCTTTCAGGTCAGGCTGGCTACCTTCCCACGGGGCGAGCGAAGTGGGGTTCACACCCACACGTATCTCCTTATCAAACGGTCACTGGCCACACCCGTGGCCTTCTCCTCCTTGGCTCTCTCGTTTCCAGTACGGGGAGGCTGAGACGTTTCCAAATGTTTACCTTCTACTTCCCTTTGAGGAACGGTCCCTGTGTCATTTCTCTGCGCTCGCTCTCCTGTAGGGGCTCACACAAGCCACGCCTTCCACGCTGCGCTTACAGACCGCCCCCCCCACCCCCCCGCCCCGCCCTCCCAGGTACCCAGTTTCCTCACCCGCCAGCTCCGCCTTCCACACGACACGAGGACGCAAACACAATGCAGCTGCCTTAGACCAAGGATCGCCCTTCGTCCAGCTTCGAACCAGGCCCCGGGGGGGGGGGGGGGGGAGAGGGGGGCAAAAAGATGGGGGCTCCCTCCCCTCTTCTCCTTCTGAGCCCTCACCAGCACTGACCGGAACCGTCCGTTCGTGGCAGTGGGGGCTCCCTCCGGCGTGCACCCCAAACTCTCCCAGACTCTGCTCGCTACCCAGTTCCAAAGCCGCTTCCCCGGTTGTAGGCGTGTTTATACAGCAGCAACCCACTCCGGGTACCGTTTCTGCCTCAGTCCATCCGGGCTGCGAGGACACAACGCCCCAGCTTACGAACGACGGACCCGCGTCTCTCACCGTCTGGGGGCTGCAAGTCTGAGATCCGGGTGCCGGCGTGGGCAGGCGAGAGCCCTCTCCTGGGTCGTAGGCTTTCTGCCGTGTCCTCGCGTGGCCGAAGTGGCAAGTGAGCTCTCTGGGGACTCTTTGACAAGGGCACTAACACTTTCCTAAAGGCCCCACCCTCACCTCCGGTCACCTCCCAGAGGCCCCCGCTCCCACCAGCATTCTGGGCGCGAGGTTTGCGACACAGGAGTTTGGGGAAAACAGACATGCAGACCGCGGCAGTATGACTGATTTCAAGCAGAGTTCGGAATCAGAGGAAACCGAGCGTCGTGCTTAGGGGAGCAGAATAAAAAGCACGGCAGGCCGGCAACAAGCCCAGCTTCGTCCGCCGGGGGCTTCTGGAGGGCGTCCGAGGTCCCGCTTTTCCGTCTGGGGGTGATCACACACGTGTTCGTTTTCGGTGTCTGTCTAACCGCGTGTGTCTCCGGCACTTTCCTTGAAGTGCACGCTATTTCACAGCAGAAAGAAATCAAAGTCTCCGGGGCTGACACGAGGAAGCAGGAGGCTTTGATGGGTGGAATCCACGAAGCCTGGGAACGCGCAGTCGAAGGAAGTCCCGGGGACCGGAGAGGCTCTCGAAGCTGCCAAGGGATTCCGGCTGCGGTCGGCTCTCTGCCGAGTAACGCCCGTGACCTCCACCGCCGGCCAACAGGCCAGATGGGGCCGGGCTGATGGGGCACGAGATTCCTGCCGGACTCAGAGGGCTGGGGGAGGGGGGGGCTCCAGAACAGAGGGGACCCCCATCCGCCACCCCAGCGTCCCGCCCTCCAGCCCAGATCAGGAGGAGGCGACCATCCGGCCGTCCCGCGGGCAGTCACCCGTCCGCAGTTCTGGGGTTAATCCGGAGGCGGAGAGGGGAGGGGGCGGGGGTCGAGACACCCGTCCCCGGCTCGGCCAGAGGAGCCCTACTCCCATCTGATTCACACAAGGCCGCTTTTGTGTTGCTACACGACAAAATCTGTCGGAAGAGAATGCGCGCTCACGAGGAAACGGTCAGACAAATCCAAACCGAGGGGCAAGCTGCCAAAAAGGCTGGCCTGGTCCCCTCGCGGACAAACTGTGAGCCTTCAGGGGAGCCGGGGACAGGGCTCAGGCCCGTCCCCCGCACGGTCCTGGCAGTTTCTCCAAGCAAAACCTCGGCCGGGAACAGGGCGCACGGACCGCGGTGTGGTCGTGTCACGAGGCCGAACGGCCCCTTTGTGGGGCCCGCTGGGGCGTCCACGCTCCGGAACCTTCCCAGTCCTCCAGGCAGACCGGCGAGAGCGACCCAGGTGAGCCGGGGAGGTTTAGAAAAGAGAGCGACGACGGAGTGAGAACAGCAAGACGCAGCAAAACGGCACGGCCCCGCTCAGGAGAAACGAAGGTAGCCTGATCCTCTAGGCACGTGTCTATACGGTTTAGAGGGAGGCAAGAGCAAACACTCATGTAACACTTGCTAAGCTGTTATCCTAAGTGCTCCTCCAGTGTTGAAGAGCCCCGGAGAGAAGATACTTTAGACTCCACTTCGCAGAGGAGGAAGCAGGGCACAGAGCGGTTGAGTCGCTTGCCCAAAGGCACACGGCTGGGGGAAAGGCAGGATCTGAACCCGGACCGTCTGGCTCCAGAGTCCACGCCCTCGGGCCCACCTAAGCTCCTGGACGCCAAAACCCTGGCCAAGGGCTGGGGATTTGAGAGCTGACCTTGACCGACCTTGGCGGCCCGGGTACCACCTCCCAGCCCCCACACCGCCCTCGGCCTCTCACCCAGACGGAAGGTGGCCGTGTGGGCACGCAGGGCACTCCGTCAGAGATGCTCCCGGAGGTCCCCCCGGGCCTGGCCGCCCAGGCAGGCCCCTCCCACGCACACCCCCACACTGCCGTGGCTCAAGAAGGGTGTGCCCCAGGGCTCGGGGCAAGGGCCAGCAGGCTGCTAGTCACTCCTCTGGATGTTGCCGCTGACAGATGTGCCCGGCCACACTGCGGAATATACCTGCTGGCTACACGGATTTCACACCAACCACCCCTCTGACGGACGCGGGCAGACGGCGATACAGGCCACGGGGTCCCGGGCTCATCCCTCGCTCGCCACCCTCCACCTGCCGCACGCCCGGGGAGACGCCCACCCGTGGGGCAGGCCGTCTGAACTTCGGCACATTCCAGCTCTGACGTCTCTCCCAGTTTATAAGGCCTCGCTCCTGCAACCGTCTGGCCTCCCCCTGGCCCTGCTCCCCGGGCCCAGCTGGCCTCCACCCAGCACCCCCCTCCTCTGCTCACCGGGGGCCATCGGCCCCGCCGGCAGCCCTCGCTGCCAATTTGCTCCGTGGCTCTACGTAAATCCGTGCTCCCTCTGGATTTGGTTTTCCCCAAAGGAGAAATAAAAAACGTGCAACTGAGTAAAACCCAAGTTCCAGATCTAACGATCCGGGAGATTATGAAACCTTCCCCGATACAAACAATTAGCTGATAAGCTACCGCCTCCTCAAGAGGTCTTAGGTGGAGCCAAACAAAATAATCTCTAACGCTGTAACAGCCAATGTCACTGAGGCAACGAGATGAAGTGGGGGCAGGGGGGCTATTCTGGGGCAAAGGGCCCTTCAATCATTGTTTGCTGCCTGTCTCCTTTTCCTCCTTCTGCTAGCGCGTCCCCATCTCCCATGTCCCCTACTCCCTACCCAGCCTCCTTTTCATTTAGGGCACCACCTGCCCACCCCACTCCCTGCGGTTTGGAGAAAAAGGAAACTCCTCCCCCAGTTCCAGGGATGCGCATGGGATCCAAGCCACCCGGAAAATTCTCTGGTTACCCTTAAAGGTCCCTCCACAAGGTTCCCTTGGGAGACTTCTGCAAAGCAGCCGCTCTCCCCCACTCTAGGCCCCCCCCCCGGGGGGGGGGGGGCGATCCCGGGGCCCCGGCAAAGCTGGGGGTGGGGGGGGGGGATGCACACGGCAAAGACATCCACCTTGAACTCTGGGACTGCATGCAGCCTACCAGGTGCCCCGTTGTGGGACCCGCAGGAAGAAGGGTAGGGCCAGCAAAGCTTCCCTCCCTGCCCTCTCCCTGCGCCCTCAGGTGGCTCACCGGGTGCAGGCACGTGACTTTGCACGACAGTGACAGTCCCTTCAAAGTAAAATCAGCAGCAGAACGGGCCTGGCGCTTCCCCTCCCGCCTCACACAGTTTCTGCGGGTGAGGACTAGAGACGACACACAAATGGTTCCACTTTAACGCTCAACTTCTGCTTAAATGCAGCAGGAAGGGAGCCCCCTCCCCCCATGCGAGCCGCCCGCTGGGGCCACGATGCCGGGACAGGTGCCGCGTGGTTACCCGCCGCTCACAGACAGCCCTGATGACCTCTTTGTAAATCTGTGTCCCTCCTGGCCACTCCGTCGTCGTGTTGGGACGGAGAAGGGGTCAATCAGAAGACATCGGCCAAGGGAAACACCCAGTCACTGGAATGAGAGAGAAGTCCCAGGGCCCCCGCCTGAATCCACGAACGCATCTCAGAGACCAGGCTCCCGGTGGCTCCTCCGGGCTCCCCTGTGCCAGGCACTGTGCTAATATGGGCTTTTCCACAGCACTGTCTGTGGCACAGCCCTCAGAGGCGGGCCTGGGGAAAGTGAGGGACCGCAAGGTTAAGTCACTCGCCACAGTCGCACAGAAAGGAGTGGAGGAGAAGGTACCGGAATCTAAGGAGTCAGGCTCCAAAGCCCAGGCTTTTGAGGATCCCCAGTAGGATCCCTTCCCTGACTCAGCCCAAAGTCCCGTGCCAGCCAGGTCCCCGCCCTGGACCAGGGTCCCCAACCGTGGGATACGGTCAAGAACAAGACAGACAAGGTCCCTGCCTCACGGAACCTCAGGCAAATGAACACTGTAACTTGGGAGAATGGCAGAGGCCCGGAAGGGAATGACACGGGTGGCTCGAACGCAGACGGGGGACGCGGCGGGAGTGGGGCTCACGGGGGGGGGGGGCTGGTGGTCAGGGGGTATCTTCTTCGAGAGGTCACATTCGAGCTGAAACACAAAAGCACATGCAAAGGCCCACGGGCAGGAAAGAACACAGCGCCCTGCAGGAAAAGCAAAGCCTGTGGGGCTGGAGCAAGGGCAAGAAATCTGAGAGTCGGAGCAGGCAGGGGCCCCGAAGAAGCGCCACCGTGGGGACAGACAGGCTTCCTACCACCCCCCGAGAAGTTTTGTTTTTAATCAGGGCAGTGAAATGATCCAACTTGCATTTTCCGAAGAGCATTCTGGCCGCAGCAGAAAGAGCTGCCCGCAGGGTGGACAGACAGGCAGGGGCGGGCGGCGCGGTGAGGAGGCAGGGGCCCCTCGGGTTACAGCAGGGGCCGTGCAGGGGGGAAGGGCAGCAGACCCCACGTCCCCGCACGGGAGCAACACCCGCCACTGGTCGCAAACCTCCCTGTGAACCACCCTTGTCTTCTAAACCCCCATTCAGTAAATACTTGAGAACCTGTGATTACGTGCTAGGCATCATTCCAGGTGCTGGGGACACAGCAAAAAACAAAACCAAGGTCCCTGCCCTCACGGGCCCCACGGTTTCCTGGGGAGACACAGACAATAAACAACACACAGGACGCACAGGTGAGTGATGCGGCATCTCACGGGGTGACAGGGCTCCAGAAGTGACCGCAGGGGAAGGAGGGACCGGAGCACAGGGGATGGGGAAGGGGCTGGCAAATTCTAACAAGGGAGGTGGGGGGGAGGGGGATTAGCCAGGCCCCCTGCAGCCGGGGGGGGGGGGGGTTGGAACAGAGAACGGTGGTCCGGCTGCAGATTTCAGAGGCTCCGCGTGGCCGCTGCGTGGAGCAAACCCGGCCGGGGAGCAAAGGCAGAGACAGGGAGACGCGATGGAGCCTTGGACCGCGGCGGTGGCCACAGGCACGGCGAGAAGCAGTGGGATCCCGGACGTATCGTGAAGATGAAACTATAACCGTCCCGCGGGTTCAATGTAGGAAGTAAGAGAGAGAAGGGGGAAGCCAGGCTGGGGCTCAGGCTCTCGGCCCGGACGGCCGTGGGAGAGAAAAACCACCGACAGAGACAGGGGTACGGCCGGAGGCCTGAGGCCGGGGGGTGGGGGCAGCGATGAGGGGTCGGGCACCCCCCCACCCCGGGGTAGTGCAAGCAGCCTCTGGCCACCCAAACTGAGATCCGCGGTTGGCCCCTGGCTGCCGGAGGCTGGAATCCGGGAGAAAGGTCTGGGCGTGGGGTATCAGCAGCCAGGACAAAGACGCCCCTCACTGCTTGAGACTGGCCGAGGCCCCAACACATAAGACAAAGGAGCAGCTGGCCAGGAGGTAAGGGAACAGACATTTCAAGTGTCTTAAGAGTCCTTCTGGGAGCTTCCAGAAAAGGTGGAAGGAACTTCGCCCAAAATGCCAGGAAGCAAACAAGGGCCACTCCTGTTCCTTCCCCCTCCCCAGCAGGGACAGGAAGACATGGGGCGGGGGAGGGGAAGGGGCAAGAGACTGACAGCCAGGCCTCGGACCACCAGGGTCCCGGACCTCTGGGTTCAGGGAGGCTCTGGGCAGGCCAAGCAGCTTCACGTCAGGACCAGAAGCATCCCGGACGCCCCGTGATCGCCAGCTGCTGAGCCCTGTAAAGCTCCAAAGCCAAGAACGGACTGTTTTGTTCCTCTTTGCGTTTCTGCCCCTGCCAGCCGTTCCCAGGGCCAGTGGAGGCCAAGGTCACATTTGACAAGGGAAAACGAGGTACGGGAAAGAACTTCTTTTGTTTCTCGGGTGTGTTTTTTTTTTATTTTATTTTGGCCCTAACCGTACGACTGAATTCTCTGCACCATAAACATGTTTACGGGGCCAAAGCGACTAGATCTTTGTGGCAAAGGGCAGGGGGACCAACTCCTCCACGACTGGGAACCCGAAGCCTGTCCGCGGCAGCCTCGTGCAGGAAACCAGCCCTGGGGGTGGCCGAAGAGCCAGGGGCCTCTGTGCCGCTGACCCGGGACAGCAGGTCGACCCACAGACTTTGATGGAGCAGACGCGCTCCTGCGGGGTCTCCAGGGCGACCAGGACGTGCCCCAGGGAGACGTGACGGAGCACGCCTTCCACACCCACTCGGGACTGGCCTCTGCCTCGTTTGCTGTGCCCGACGAAGGCCGGCACAAGGCGGTTCCAGGTAACTGCACGTAACCACGTTCTGGCTAATCACAGTGACTCACTGGGTGCAGGTATTGGCAGGTGTTAGTCATTCCAAGAAGGGACGGGGAACATTTCACGGAACGGGAAGAGCGAGGCCCGCGGAACACGCCCCTGGTGCCAGGCCGAGGGGAGGCCGGACTGCGGCGGGACGCGCGGCCACACGCGTATGCGTGCACCCAGCACGCGCGGACACGCATTAACATGCGTGCGCGAGTGTGCCCGCATGCGTCGCGATACGGACGACGCGACCGCGACGATGTGCGCACGTGCGGATGCGTGAGGGCCGCGCGTGCCACGCCTCCCCATGCGCGCACACGTCAACACACGCGTGCACACACGCCCGCACGCGCGCACATCTATGCCAACACGGCGACACCGCGATCCCTGTTGACCCACGTGCTCCGGGACGGGCTGCACATGCCAACGCGTGTTCGCGCATCACCAGTCACGCGTGTGCCATCAGCGCACGCACGCACACGCCAGCATTTGCGCGTGCGCGTGCGCGCGCGCGCGCGCGCACACACACACACACACACACACACACACACACTCGTGAAGCCAGAGCGGAAAACAAAAATAAACCAGACTCCGCGAGACTCAAAATAGCCCCGGTTTCCAGCTGTCACCATGGAGTAAGAAGGTCTCTCGTGCGCAGGGAGAGAAATCAAGTTCCGCTGTGGGAAAGAGGAAGCAAAACAGGACAGACCCGGCGAGCACCTGCGATCCCAGCCACCCCGGGGCGCCCGCCATCGGCCGCCACAGATCAATTCCACCGCTTTGCCAGACGCGGCCAGGTACACGGGGGGGAGGGGGGGGGGCTGCAGGAAACAGCCCAGGAGCGATCAGCCTGTGACACCACGATGCCCTCCAAGACTGACCTGCGGCCTCCCGGAGCTCCGGAGGGAGCGCTGGCCGGCGGGCGGGGCTGGCCCAGCAGACCCCGGGGCAGAGGCACGAGCCCACCCTGAGGGTTGCTGGGACCATGGGCACCAGACGGGCCGCCCTCCCCAGCTGGCCTGGGCATCTGTGATTCTAGAACACAGCCCGCTCCATCAGACCGGCCTGCAAAGATAGCCACGAGGCGCCCTGTACCGACAGTTCGGGGGAGGTGCCGATAAGGAGGAAGGCAGAGCGGACCCCGCTGCCCACCGGCCGCGCAGGCAAAGGCGAGGTCGACCCAAGCGGGGAATCCGGGAGGGGCCTGCCCTACCGCGAAATATTGACAGCAGTCAATACAGACAGCAGGGAGGCCGGGCCTCCGGGCCGGAGGCCCTCTGGACTGAAATCCTGGCTCTGCCATTTCAGCCGTGTGACCTGCGGCAAGGGACTTCACGCCTCTGTGCTTCTGTTTCCCTCAGGAACCAGAGGCAACAGTCGCTGTTCGGACGCGAAACGAAATGATTTGATACGTGCACACTTCAAATGGCGTGTGCCAAATACACTCATTGCCTGTCATCACCCCCCCACCTTTTAACTGATGGCCAGAGGACATTTGCCAAAGGGCACAAGGCCACCCAGGGGCAGGGCACGGCGTTCCTGAGGCTCTCCGGGTGGCTCTCGCTGAGGGCAGAAGGAGCAAACTAGAGTCTGGGTCCAAGTCCCGGGCGAGGGGAGAGCGCGAGGAAACACCCCAACCTCACGGCCCTGACCACCTCTCCGTCACCCACCGTACCACGAACCCACCGCTGCCCTGGCCCCCGGGGACGCTGCCGTGGGAGCGACAACGCGGCCCCTGCCCCAGCAGACGTCCACGCTCATGAGGGCGAAAGAGGACACGCAAATAAACACACAGCATAACGGAGGCTACCTTCGGGGACGTGCGGGGCGAGCTACACAGATATCTCAGAGTGAGCCTTCCGGACAGAGAGGAGCACGAGCCAGAGACTCTGTGGTGGCACCAGCCTCGGCAGGCTCGAGGACATCCAGGAGATGTGCAAGGCAGGGGAGCTGCGGGGCCGAGAGCGGGTGAGGTGAGAGACGGAAGGAAGGCCAGACTGCACGGGCCTCTGGGCCACCGAGAGGACCTCGGTCTTCACTCAGAGTAACACAGGGAACCTTGCAGGGTTGTCAGCGAGGGGACGTATGGTCTGCTGACTGTTTCATCAGGATCCCTCTGGCTGTCTATGGAGACCAGAGAGGAGACTACTGCACCAGTCCAAGCAGCGGACGGAGAAGGCTTTCGTGGTGATGTTGAGGAGTTGAAACACAGCTAGGTTTTGAAGATAAAGCCAATAGCATCTGCTGATAGACCATATCAGGCATGACCCAATATTCTCAGCTCCGCGCTCGGGGAAATGGAGGCGTCATTTACCGAGATGGAAATACACACGGGGGAAGCCTTCAGCCTCAGCTGGAAAAACTCGTGCATAAAGCACCTGAGACTGATCCCAACCAGAAAACCAACTTAAAGACAGCAGAGGGGACTCAGCTCCCCTCTGGGATGTGAAGAAGGCTAAGGGGCCCAGCAACACACACGGTGGTCCGGCAGACGAGCCCTTCCCACCACTGGGCCTTCCCCGTTGGACCAGAGACACCCGGAAATGTACCCTTAGGGACCTTGACCGTGCATTCCTCACCCATGCAAACTTGGGACGACCGCGCATGCCAGGGTCAGTTCTAGGCAGTGGATACAAGCGTCCCCATTCTCCTGGAGTTTTCTTCCAGGATATTTTCACACGTGTGCATGCACACACACACACACACACACACACACGCATCAGGCAAGGTCAGCTGGGGCAAATTACTCCCCGAAGCTTCTGTTTCCCTAACTGTTGGTGATGAGAATGAGAAGTGTCACAGAATTCCCCAGGACCAAACAAGAGGACATTTACAAAGATGGCCTGAATACTGCCCGGCACTCGGTAATTCACGATCACGCCGTCCGGCCGAACGCCTCTTGTCCACTCCTGCCTGCCGCGGGGACGAAGGGACGAGTCTCACTTCCTTCCCTGGACCTCTCCCAGCGACCTCAATCCACAGGGCTCCTCTGCCATTTGCGTCTCTAATTCATTGAGCCATTCTCTGGGGAAAGTTGTGGGTTCGTTACTAATGTTTAATAAAACACATAATACACGAATATTCTCTTTGTTTAAAAAAAAGAAAAAGTTGGGGCGCCTGGGCGGCTCAGTCGGCTGAGTGTCCGACTTCGGCTCAGGTCACGATCTCACGGTTCGTGAGTTCGAGCCCCGCATTGGATGGGATGGAGGGCTCCCACTCGATGTCCTATGCCCCTCCAGAAGTGGATACCCCAACTCGGGGCTGGGGTGCCGGCCCACCACGGCCACAAGCTGTGTAAACCCCGGCAAGTTGCCGATCTTTGCTGTGCCTCTGTTTCCTTATCTGTGGGAACAAAAGCACGGTCTCAGCCTGTTTCTCAAGGCAGTGGTCAGATTCAAGTAAGAAACCAGGCACATCCAGGGTATTTCCACACACATGTAATCACCTTTGCGCTTTGTGATCGTGCCAGGAGGCAAACTACATCTGACCCCTGACTCAGAGGTGAAGTAACGCGCGAGGTCCCCAGCCAGCAAATGGCAGAGCCCAGGTCTACAACCCCCCGGGCTCCGGAAACCGTCACAGGTTTCAAAATGCATCAACCCTATCGGCAGCCTGAGACACGTAAATCAAACCCATCAGATTAACAACAACATAACACGACACTCAATTGGTGTGGATGTGGGGGGAGTGGTCACTGTCATGCTGTTGGTGGCCGTATGAATGCTAGAGCTTTTCAGAAAGGCAATTCGGCGGTAACTGTCAAAACTCAAGCTGAACAGACTTCTCGGTCTAGAGGCTTCTATCCTGAAAATCCACCCGGCAGAGGCGTTGGTGCCTGGACACCGAGAGGCACGTGCCAGGACATTCACCACTCGGTTACTCCGCTACAGAGAAAATCAGCCGTCAAGAGAGAAACAGGGAAATAAGCCACTGGAAGGAAAGCCATGCAGCAGTGAAACCAATGACAAAGACCGGATAGATCTACCTGTTCTGATAGGGAAACTTTTTCCAAGAGGTACGCAGGAAGTGAAAAGCAAACTGCGGAATATTTACACATAGCTTAGCTCACTATACGTAACAAGTATGTACCAACGTGTACAAATACGTGCTCATGATGCGTGCACTGATGAAAGTCTAGAAAGACACAGGCCAATGACGGTGGTATTATCTGAGGAAGGGAATAAAGTGGAGGGAACTTTTTTTCCTCCATTTGAATGGTTTTTTTTTTTTTTTTTTTTGCAAGCAAGGGCTCATGCCTTTGCCATGTGGACTTCTTCAGTGAACCAAAAGGCATAAAAACATGGAAATCAAAAGCACAAGGCCCGCCATTCAAGCTGTCCAGGGGCCTGTGCAGCCAAAGAAAACACCGGCGGGCAGGAAGTTCCTCCCTCTCCCGGGGTCCCACCCGCCAGGTCCCCTGAACACAGACAGTCTTCTTCCACGGGAGGCACTTGGCCAGGGCTCAGCCGGGGCTGCCCAAGAAGTGGCTCTCACGGGCTAGGCGTTGCCTTCCTGCCCTCACACCACTCAGTCCCAAACCAATCACCTTTGGGAGAGTCCCATAGGATGCTGGGTGGCTCTCGCTCAACTTTGAGCCCGGAAATTCTAGCTGCAGGACAAGGGAGGACAATGTCACTCTCCGCTTCGGAAGCCTAGAGTCGAGTCGGGAATTAGGAGGCACACGCGTGTGAGCGGATACACGTGGAACCGACATCCCAAACCTGACCAACGTCCACAGACGGAAATCACCCCGAAGTTCGGTCCGAGAAGGACGGGGCCGGTGAGGTTCTTCATCAGCTCTAAACCCCACCCGCCCTCACACTCCCCCCTCCACCACCGGGGTGACAGCGTCTCCAGGATGCACACCGTACAGCAACCGTAACATCGGCGGGCGTCTACGGAAGGCTCGCGCTGAGATAAAGCTCTCACGGCTACTCTGGAAAGCGTAGCCCCTTGGCCACTGCGGGAGAGAACAAAGCAATTTTAATGCTTCGAGGGGAGCTTCCCCTGCCATCCCCAGAGGCCAAAAAACACGAAGAGGAACTCGGCGTTCAGTGCCGCCGCCAGCCAGGATCGCCTTGGAATCAGGCTACGGGGCTTAATGGGAAAAGATCTGAAAACTAAAGAAAACAAAAACAAAAAACACAGTGTGGCCAGTATAACTCAGACAACTACTTCCCCAGAGACCGTGGTAAAAGCCAAACGTTGCAGCATGTTTGAAGATGGCCAGGTCCCAAGAAGGGACAGGCAGGTGTAGGCGGATTGCAGCCTTCATTCATCCACAGATTCATTCATTCCCAGGCATCCTGTGCTGGGCATGAGGCACACACACACGAAATGTGGACAAGTCTCATTCTTTTTTTTTTTTTTTTTTTTGAGAGAGACAGAGTGCAAGCGGAGGAGAGCCAGAGAGAAAGGGAGACACAGACTCTGAAGCAGGCTCCAGGCTCTGAGCTGTCAGCACAGAGCC